ACACCCAACACCCCTCCCCCTAGTCCCCTAGGATTAAGCCTTAGGAGAGACTGGGGAAACGGGGGTAAAGAATTCCCAAATTTAAGAACGCCAGGAATGAAGAATGGTTTTTCCTTGACCCAATTGAAAAGCTACGTCCTAAACTATATCTCTGATAAAATCTTCACGTGATTACTGAACAACGCTTCACAGTAAACAACAGGGTTGGAACAGGGAAACAGACCTGGGCAGTCGAATCAGAAGCCACGTCTGCGTCGGCTGCGGTTGAAACCATGCTGTACTGTGAAGCAGTACTAAGTGGTAACGATCCGGTTATAGGAGACGACGCAGATGCTGGCGAAACGGCGCCCGAGTGCACTATTACCTCCGTCTGAAACAAACTTTCATGCATGGTACGAAGCAATAAATGCATAAAATATAGCACTAGGCGCTTGATTATCCCTTTTCTATCACGCCACATCTTCTACTGCCTCACTTGGCATGCATTCACGCACTCTTAGTGGTCTGTACGATAGGATGGGAGCCAGCCGATGTAGAGGGCAGTATTTCATCCCAGCACGTGTGTCCGATTCTGAATAAGCGACCGATGAAGAATGGAAAACCGGGAGATCTGTCTGACCAGGATGGATTCGATCCGGTGTTTGGCACCATGGATCATGGGCGTGGTAAGCGACACCGCTTGTTACTACCTCACCAAAGAGAAGCACTGTCATTGACCTCCATTTTTTCCACGAAATGTACAGTAGCCCGCACTCAATTTTTTCGCAGAATTCTTGAAATCATAGTGTGAAAATGTGCTTTTCACCACACCTTGCAGGCACACCGCTGCTCAAAGAACTGACTATTGTGAAGCACATTTTTTAACATAGCGCGTTCTTAGCCTGCCGATTAACTCACCAATTCAGGTATATTCACAGGTGCTGTAGCAGGAACCTTTGCAGCAGACGGGACAGTGGCTGATTCGTGGTCAAGATGAGCGTGGTCCGCCGATGCAGGAACGGTCGATAAGGGCGCCGAGTCGGCGACTGAGGTGTCTGGTGCTGCTGCTGGCTGTGAAGCGGGCGTTGTTGTTGCAAACGGTAACGATTCCTGCAAACGCGATGGCTTTTAATTAACAACAGCCCAGCCTATTTTGAGCGAAAATGAGTCATTAAGGGAGCGTTTACCTCAGCGGGTGACGGTAAAGCAGGCGCTATTTGAACTCGCGATCCTCCTATTCGACTTGCCGACGCCACCGACGTCAACGACTTGGGCTCCGGTTGAGGCCTAATAACAGCTAATTATGACCATAACTTATCTGCCCTTTCTATTCATAATGGAGCAAAAACAGTGCTTTCGCAACCAAGAGAGCAATCAACATCGCAAGAAAAGATATAACCGGGACAACTCCAGCACTAATCAAGGCGATGTACCCATTGAGAAATCCTCAACGTGATGACGCTTCGTGATTTCTGAGAGAAGAAAGATTCATTGGGTTTGGTAGTGCATCATCGGAAAGAATTGAATAAGATAATTAACTGATTACATTAATTTTTGGAGAATCTATAAAATTTATGCAAATATCGAAATTTCGTGGTGATTCACCATTGATGTATCATTATTTCCTCGAAAGATGTTGAGAAGGACCTAAACGGGCTGAGAAGGATCTCTTACAAGGAAAGAATAGCGAATAAAAAGAATCACAAGACCCCAAAGACATATACACAAGACATATAATAGCTTAAACGATCGCAGAATTAAAACAAATAACATGGAAAATTCAAAAATAGCTCAAACATGTAGTAGTTCACGTACGGTGCCACTGGCGGTGGAGTCTCTGGAAGAGTGTCACGAATGAGTTGCGGTAATACGTTACCCATTCTGCTAACAGTCATCTGTGCATCCGGTAACAGCACAAATAGCCCGCTTGCCATCATACAGCATTTTTCTCAGTACTCTCGGACGGCTCGGACCATCGATATAATCGAGATCTCATCTCTACACTCACTAAGGCATCCTCATTAGATGCCCACAGCGTCATATTCGAGGTAACTTCATAAAGTCCAGAATCCGCAACCATAATTGAATGACGTAGCGTCGAAAGAAGCTGAAATGGAGCTCCTATAAGCAACATAAATGATTTAATTTAAGTCGCATCAGACAGTAAAGATTATACAAAATACAGCCAACAACATTCTAACCTGCGACTTAAAAATGTGACCGAGCCTTTCGAGGAGTTGCAATAATTGAGTAATGCTTTCAACTTCAAGATGAAAATTAGAAAAAAAAAACTCACGACAAATGGTTTAGAAGGGTCTTAGCTACAATCTGCATCGCACGTACTCGTGTGTCTTCCATACCAATAGGATCCATCGCTGAGAACACGTCCAATAGCTTGCCCAGTAATGGAAACAGAACCTGAACATTAAGAACATACCGTGAAATGTTGATGCAAACTTGTATATCAGAAATTGAAACACAATAAAAGGATGAGGAACCACTAACCTCGCCAAAACACGACTCCCACTCGGCTGCTCCTAGATTGGCCATATTCGTTGGCAGGAATGCTCGCTGAAAAAAAAAAGTTATAGAGAAGTGGTACACTTTGGAGTCCGAATAGTATGAGGATAGAAAAAAGATCGGGACATCTAAGAATTTTCTTGTCAGAGAAACACCGATACTTTTCAGACAGAGAGTATTTGAACTTTACAATGGGTCATAGTTAAACAATGCACATATTCCCTTCAGGACATGGAATTCCGCTAGGAGTACCGAGGGATTTCCACCGCCCCTTCAGGCCAAATACGATGTTCAAAACCACGAAGGTTGATTCTGCTTCCATACGCTGAGTTCGCTACTCATTGCTCTTCCTACGATTCGTTTCACAGTATCTATGCGGTAAGTTCCCATCAGACATATGAATCAGTTATTGAATATGTACCTGCAAATGCGTCAAGGCTGCCGCTCTAACCAGTCGTCGACAGTCGCATCCCAGCCTGGCTATTGCTTGCAAGAGTGGTCGCCAAACCGTGCACCATATGTGCGGTATGGATGCGTCCACCTAAATAATGCTGTTGTTTTTAATTGCTGTGTTTTTTAGAAAAAAAAGTCGAAAACCAGCATACTTCTGGTTGAGATTTCGCCCAGTGAGCCAAAATACCCGGTGCTAGGCTATGAAGTGTTGAGCAAAGGTCAAGCAATTGCAGTGAAACCTGAGAATAATATAATGTAGCTTTTGACAGGTGCTTGTTTAGTCATAGAAGGAAATCAGGCACAATAAAAAATAATAAAAATTCAGGAGTAATATTGTTACCTG